GACCTAAATTAAATGTTTAACTAAATTAGTTCAATGCACAGCTATAGTGTGTAAGAACTGGCTGCTAATATTAAAATAGGTCCAAATTACGAGTCTTTTGAGCATCTATTTACAATGTTAACATACTGTGACGTCATTATGCCATAGGGCAATTCATCTCATTTTCCATATTTGATGCCGATTGGAGTTCCACTATAACTTCATGAACCGATAATAAGGAGTACGTACAATAGTGACATCATAAGGTCACCAAGTCTCGTATAAAATATCACAACATGTTGGGTCAAGAATGAAGACTGATTAACAGTGAAAGTATAAGATTTCGGGTCATTTTTACTGCGTCAGTCTTCCTGTTTGCTTTGATCGATGCTGTTCTAAATACTAAAATATGGCAGATAAAATCAGTCATTCCTGCTTGGTGTCCAAGATTGCCATTACTCTATCGGTCGTCAGTTTGTTGTTGTGCTGTGGTGTGTTTTTAAGAACAGAATTGATGATAAACGAGCTGTATTCAAGAGACACAAAGCTGTCAGACAATATGAATTCTAAACACGACATGAATGATGGCCATCGATTCGACAAAGATTATCATTCAGAGCAAACATTTGAAAAACAAGAAGCAAAGCAAACGAAAGAAGTTTTCACAAGAAAAGTACGAGATGTTACAACTGTAGTCAATAGCACCATTAATGATGATGTATTATCAAAGAAAATCCATCAAGTTGTGGGAAAAGCAGTTGCCAATTTACAATCTGCCAAATACTGGATTCCCATTCCAGGACCTCCCGGTCCACAAGGAAAACCTGGTCCAAGGGGACCCAGAGGACGCATGGGTAAAACTGGACGTCGAGGGAAACGAGGACCACGTGGTTTTCCTGGAAAGATCGGACTTCCTGGTCCCAGAGGAATGCCTGGACCAAAGGGACCAAAGGGAGATCGTGGTCCTTCCTTAGCACGTCCAGCAGTACTCATTTCACCAACACATCTCATCGTCAATGAAAGCCAGTCCGCCATCTTACATTGTTCCTCTAGTGGTTATCCTCGACCTGATGTTGTGTGGGGTAAAACCAACGGTACATTACCACACAAACGAGCAGTAGTTGATAGCACTGGTAAACTTGATATCAAATACGTGACTGCCAATGACACAGGAATCTATCAGTGTAAGGCTTCTAATCTTCTTGGCAGCACACAAACAACAGCGAAACTCCAAGTAAACTTCCGCCCAAGGCTGACCTTGAACAAAGGACCCATCTACAGAAAGATTAATGATCACATTCGTCTACCCAAGTGTCATGTGACTGGATTCCCTGAGCCAAAGGTYACGTGGKYKAAGTCTATCGGTTYTTTACCAAAAGGCCGCTCTCTYKTCAAAGATGGACAGTTAGCTATACTCAAAGCAAAGAAAGATGATTCAGGGATATATGTTTGCAAAGCTGAAAACCGTCTTGGATCTGTTGTAGGAACTATTTTGGTTAATGTTATCGATTTGCCTGTGTTCGTTGTCAAGCCTCCGACGTCTTATAAAACTCTTAAAGGAACCGCTGTAGTGTTAAACTGTACCGCTAAAGGTGAACCTCAGCCTGTCATCAGTTGGAGAAAAGACAATCTCCCTCTTCATGATGGTAGATATGAAGTGAGAGATGGCTCTTTTATTATA